GCCCCAGTGGCCCTGTGCCCTCTCCCTGGGAGCAGCAGAGATCTCCACTGAGCCTTGCCTGGTGTGGGGCCAACGTCCTGTGGAGCCTCTGGCGAGGAGCTCTGGGACCTCTTAAGTCACCAACAAAACCAGGGAGGAATCAAGCAAGGGGTTCCCAATCTTTCCTCGGACCTCTTATTATCCCCACCCCATGAAAAACAACATCAGTCCCATAGTCTGCATATTGAGAATTATTTGCCCGTCCTATAGTCATGCAAGACACTTAGTAGCTGTCACCTACTGGTGGCCCCCACCTCATGCCCAGCTCTTTAGCTCATCCAATCTTCACAGCATCACAATTCTACAGAGGAGCATCCCAGAGGTTAGAGAACATCCCAAGGACACACAGCTGCTAAGAACTGTGGAGATTTGCTCACAATAACCAGGCCAACTACAGTCAGCTGAGATCCTTCAGGGCCGAAGCAAATAAGTTTGTGTTTTGGGTTAACTCCATGGTTTGCAAAGTTGGCTGACTCTAGGAACCACCTAGGAAGCTTTTAAAAATCCCCAAGGCCAAGCCACCCCCAAAGCCAATTAAATCAGAATCCCTGTGGTGGGCATTGGAATTTTTGAAACTTCCTGTGGTGATGCCAATATGCAGCCAAGGTCAAGATCCACTGATTTAACCAGTGCAGTTTCTGAGGATGAGAAGGCTCCATCTAGGACTAGGAATGGGATTTATTAATAGTGATTGTTAATAGCAACTAACAGGGTGGTCACACTGCCATTCCAGGGGCACCATGCACAGTTTAATCTGTAGGAGTTGAGGACTTGCTGTTGTGAGGTACACAACCAGCCTGTTGTATGTGGCAGCCCTGGTAGCCAGCACCAAGTGCTCAACTCTATACTAGGCATTTGCCAAGCACCTCGTTTACGATACCACAACTTCATGGAGAAAGATTCTAACATAATGCTCATTTTGCAGATGAGGAAACACCAGATCAAAAGCAGCTGTCCCGTCTCAACTCTGCTGTTCAGTGGGAAACAGCCATAGACAATAAGTGGGCGTGGTGTGTCCCAGGGCTGTGGGATTTGGTCCAAAGGCTGTAGTTTCCAGGCTCCAGCTCCAGAGGGTAGGAAGGCACAGACAGAGCTGACATTCAAATCCAGGTGTGAATGACTTCAGCCTCCTTATCCTTCTGCTTCCTCCTGCATTTCTTTAACAGCCATGAAGAATACAGACAAGCCACTTACCTCTCTCCTTCATGATTGGCCTGCTCCTCCCTCTCCCTGCTAGCTCTTCTCCTGGCTGTTCACCCTTTTCTTTCCAGAGAGGACCTGTCTAATGCACACTTCCCCTCTTAGCCCCTCCATGGCCACTCCCCAGATGGACCCCAGAGTCTTAGATCTCTCGGGACGCTCAGCAGCCTTGGGAACTACCCCAGTCCTCTGCCTCAGGAGGCCCAGCTGACCACCCAAGACAGCCTGGATTTTCTTGGCCTGGCACCTGTGCTTCATTGAGTAGTCTCTTTTATAACAGGACCTGTGTGAGGTTCTTCTGCCCAGAGACCCCGGTTAAATAAATTAAAAGGTAGGAAGGCTGGCTCAACTTTCTAAGTCCTGGGGGTCCCCAGAAGCCCTCCTATCCCAGCCCTCCTCATCCCACCCCTCGTAGATGTATACATGGATCTCACATGCTGGGGTTCAGCTCCCTGAGCGGCAAAGGCAATGGTTTTTCCCCTGCAGCCCTGAGCTAAGGCACCAGCCACATCCTTCAGGGTTCCTGCCTCACCCACCACACCAGCCTGGCCTCAGGGAAACACCTTCATCCACAGCTCACTGCTGATTTAATTCATTTAAAAAAAAAAAAAAAAAAAGGCCTGGAGGAAATCATTGAGCCAGGGCTGACCACAGATTGAACCTGGGGTGCAAGACTGGCTTCATAATTGACAGGGCCCAGTCAATAAAATAAAAAAGGAGGGCCACTTGTTCAAAATGCATTTGGAATTTCAAGACAGCAACAACAGAAGGTCAAACCAAACAGGGCCCCTCTTCCAAAGCAACCCTGTGCGACTGAGTCCGACTGGCCCTGGGGCAGCCAACCCACTGGCTGGCCAGCGACCTATGTATGGGGTGAAGGTCTCAGCCAGGCCAATCACAGATTTTTTCCCCTGGAATTTAATGGGAGAAAGAGACAGAGACCACCCCCTGGAAGTGAAGGAAACCAAAGTCATAAAACATCCCAAGGCCTCTGACAGTTTCCCCACACAGCAGCGAGAATGACCTTTTCAAAACTGAATCAGGCGCGCCTTTCCCTGACTTGAACCCACCCGTCCACCCTTACTCCAGACGCTCTCCCAGTCAGTCAGCTCACAGCACTCCCAGCACACTATGTCTTTTTGTTCCCTGAACAGACCCAGCTTGTTCAAGGTACATGAGTCACACATGCTGTTCCCCAGGCCCCAAATGGCCTCCTTCCTCATTCTCAACTGTCAGATCTTAACGTTGCCTCCTCAGAGAGGCCCTCACCATACCTGGCTGACAGCGGGTCCCTCCTTAGTCTGTATGGGAGCCTGGAGCCATTTGTGGTCTTTCGTTTTCATTGGCTTGCGTATGTGCTGACTGCTGGCCTCCCTAGCAGAGTGTGGGTTCTTTGAGTGCCGGGACCTCACTTGCTTAGTTCTCTTCTGTGTGTCCAGTGTCTACCGCAGTGCCAGGAAAATCACAGGAACGCGAACATTTGTGGAATGCATGACTATTTTTATCATTATGCACTTTCTCAGTGGTCATTGCCATTACGCAGGAGCTCTCGATTTTGTGTACTTATTTTGTATCTGGCCACATTGTTGAACTCTCTCAGTTCCAAATGCGTTTCTGTTCATCCATGTAAGAATTCTGGGTATATGGCTTTATCTATGCAAATATTAAGGCTGCCATCTCCTTTCCTAAAGTTATCCAACTTATTCTATTTCCAACCTTATCACTTTGGCAACATACAGTGAGTTTTTTTAAGGATGGTGCGGCGGATGAAAAGCAAGCAGCTCTGGAAGATTTGTGGGGCACAGAGGGACGAAGAACAGGTGAATAGCCAGGGAGCCAAAGTAGTTATTAAAGTGTGGCATAAGCTGAACAGGAAGAGAGCTGAGGTCACAGGAAGGAAAGAGCGTAGCTGAGAATTACTCAGTCAAAGGATGGGTGACACTTGACAATAGGAATAGTCAGCAAAAGAGAGAAGATCTCAAAGCTCCAATCTGAATCCAGGTGCTCTAATGCATTGGCACCCAGAGAGCTTGATCCCACAGACAAGAAAATATCCACACTAAAAACAGAAAGGGGAGCTGATACAGCCAACTATGTATTTTATCAAATGCCCATTTTAAAGTAACTCTAAATACTATTATGATCACCTTTTAAGGACCAAAAAATTAGGAAGGATGTAACCTGAAAGCAAACAGCCTTACAAAAAAGATGAGGGAAAAAAAGGGAAGTTAATAAGAATTCTCATTTTGGAAATGGTTCTGAGAATATGAATTCGAGAAAAAAAATTAACATGTCTATGCTCTGACACTTCACCTGGCTACATCCAAAAATACCTTATAATAATTAACACTTTTTCCAGATTACACAGCACCTTTACATATGTGGTCTTACTTGCTCCTCCTAACAGCAGCCTGTGATGGATCATCACAGAAATGCCAAACACGGGTCTGGTGGCCACCATTGCAAAGTACAGTCTCCAGTTTGATGCATAGATTCCCAATATGTCACCTTGCAGTGTGAACCCTGTCAAACCTCCTCCTCTGTATTTTCTGACCCCAACAAGCTGTTTGCCACTTCCAGGTTTTCACACATCCCTGTTCATCCATGAAACTGTATTCAGGCAGAGAATGGTTCTCATCCCCTTCCCAGTGTGGGGGAGGAAATGAAAGTCTGTCCACAGGCAACATGGTGGCCCTCAAGCGGGGGCTGAAGCCTGGTGTTTGAGGTGAGGACACACTCCCTCAGTTGCCACATGAAAACCACATGCCACAGGGCACTGGTTCCCCAAGACCAAAGAAAACTTCAAAAGTTGTATTGGCAATTACCAACAAATGTGCAGACACTGCCAACTGTCAGGGCCTGGCAAATAATAGGAGCTCAACCTCTGCAAAGCTAGACGCATGAAGAGAGCAGAGCTAAAGTCTAAATTCTCATTGAAATTCCTATAAGCAGCTAATGGCCAGGCAGTGTCTATACCTTTGAGGCCTTTTTTTTTTAAGTCAGTCTCTCTCTCTCTCTCTCTCTCTGTTGTATTTGCTTTTGGGCATTTCAAGGATAAGGAGCCAGTTTGTAGAAGAGGGAGCCCTTGTGTCTAATTTTTAAGTAAATTGACAGATTTCAAACTGCTGTGGTAGAAGTAGGGCCATTGAGTAGCCAAACATTTGACAACCATCCCTTTGCTATTAGGGACACGACAGTCTCTGAATTTCATACTCTCCTCTTTGATGTGAAGAAAATGAAAAGCTGAACAGTTCCACAATGAATTTGGAACTGTGAATACAGTTAGATAATAAAGGGTAATACTTTCTTTTTATCATTACATTTACCCAAATTGTTTTTAACAAGTAAATATTACTCTTTTTAAATATATTTTCCTTTTCTGTTATGAGCTCATTGAAAAACAGAAACTCAAACATAATTCCTTTTATAGTGGGAGAAAACCGTTGTTTGCAAAGTCAGGCCAAAAAGTATACATGTGTCAACCCATATTTTGTGACCCATTATCACTTTACTTCTATACTCCAGAGACGTCGCAAACATCATCTCCAATTCTCACAGCCCTGTGCATGCGTTCCATTATGATTTCCACTTTATAAGTGAAGAAACTAAGGCTCAGAAAGTCAGGTAGCTTGCCCAGGTATGCGCAGTAGCAGGTGACCAAGGTCCATCTGACATGAAAACCTTGCCCTTCAACTGTGCCCCATGGGGCAGGGTGAGATTATTGGCTCAGCTCTGAGCTACTCCTCTGCCCATCTCCACAGCCGCCATGTACTCGGAGATCCAGAGGGAGCGGGCGGACATCGGGGGCCTGATGGCCCGGCCAGAATACAGAGAGTGGAATCCGGAGCTCATCAAGCCCAAGAAGCTGCTGAACCCCGTGAAGGCCTCTCGGAGTCACCAGGAGCTCCACCGGGAGCTGCTCATGAACCACAGAAGGTAGGGATGAAGCCCTGCTGCCTGGGCCCATCAAGCACCTGGGCCTGTGGGGGATGGGGAAGGTGCCCCTGGAGGAAAGCAGAGCTGGCTACCATCCTGGGGCTCCTGAAGACTGAGGAAGGTTGAGGGTGCCCTTCATGATCACCAGCAAAACCTGTAAAGACCCCATCCCCAGTGGCCCCTGGGAACCAGAGGAACCCAAAAAACCCTGTTCTCTTGCCCAGCCACCTGCTTCATGCCCACACTCCAGATACACTTACTGAGTACCTACTGTGTGCTGGGCACTGAGCCCAGACCCTGGGGATACAAGAACGAATGGGACCCAGTTCCCGTCCTCACAGACAGGGACGGGTGCATAGCCAGGCAGTAGGATGGGTGCATTGATGAGGGTGTAAATAGGCCTGAGACCCCAGAGGAGGAACCCGAGAGGGCTCTAAAATGACTTCACAGGAGCAGTGCTGCCTCAGCTATGACCTGAAGGGGGACTGGAGTCAGCCAGGCCTGGAGGTGGGTGTTGGATGGCAGAGGGAACCTCATATGCGAATGAACAGGAAACAGGAGTCACTCACTGTGCCTGGGGCATCAATTGTGTGGTGCAGGCCATGGCAGAAGGATGGACTAAGGAAGGGTCTACAGCAGGGACACAGGGTGTGATGGGCCTGTCTGGTGTGGTGGGGGGATGGGGGAGCTCACAATACCGAAGGGGGCAGGAGTGTTGCAGAGGCCCAGGATGGTGGCTGGCTCTTTCATGGCAGGCCGTGGTGTGCAATGACAGAGACGAGCCAGAGGGGCATCTGGGAGGCGGCAGGGGTGGGATGGGGCAATTGATGGGATGTGAATTGGAGAAGAGGAAGGCTGAGCGTCCTCTGGGAGGACTGGGAAATACTCCTGCTCACCAGTAATAGCATCAGCCCAGCGCTGCTTTCAGAGCTCCCTCTGCTGGCTGATTCTGGTATTAGAGCCGATTGTGATTTCTGTTCTTGTTTTCAGCTATGTGACTAATATCCTAGCAGTTATCATTTTGTACACTGAGTCGCTTTTTTGTTTTCAATTAGTATTATAATATGAGCATTTTCTCTGAGTGGCTTTTAGATTCATCCCTTTAATATCAAAAAACATCACCACAATCCAAAACAAAAGCTTAAAGACAAATCAGAGAAAGTATTTGTAATATAAATAAATTTTATTTTTAAAACTAACGTATACAGAAAAAATTAATATATTCAGATCTCTTAAAATCCACAAGGAAAAGATGAATAAAAAGTAATACAGTACAGCCAGACGTGGTGGCTCACACCTGTAATCCCAAAACTTTGGGAGGGCGAGGCAGGAGGATCACTTGATCCAGGAGTTCAAGGCTGCAGTGGGCTATGATTGCACCACTGCACTCCAGTCTAGGCAACAGAGAAAGTCCTTGTCTGTAAAAATAATAGTGATATTACAGTTAATTCACAAAAGAAGAAATGCAAATGGCTGGTAAACATATCAAATGTTGTTCCATGTGACTAATAAAGAAACAAATGAAAAACAGATATTACTTCTTGCCTATCAGATTCTCAAATATAAAAAGATTGGCTGGTGATGGTGGGGAGAAATAGATGCTCTTGTACACTGTTCACAGGAGGATACACTGGATAACCTTTCTCAGGCACAGATAGATATATGTACCTCAAATCTTTTCAAAGAGCCTGACCCGGCAATTCTACCTTTAGAGAAGTATCCTAAGAAAATAACCAGAAATAACATAAAACTTGGTCTCTGCAGTCAGACAGGCCTGGGTTCAAATCCTCATCTGGCCCATCTGTAGCTGTGACCTGGACTGGTATCTTCAGCCCTAGCAGCCTCAGTTTCTGTCTCAGTAAAATGGGACAGTAATGGGTCCACCTCCAAGGCTACAGGGAGGATTGCACAAGATAATATTGGGGGTTGGTGTCACCACAGGAAGCAGCCCTGAGGCTGGTGGAAGCAGGAAGGTGATGGTCTCCTGACAGCTCCCCCTTCCCCACCCCAGGGGCCTTGGTGTGGACAGCAAGCCAGAGCTGCAGCGCGTCCTGGAGCACCGTCGGCGGAACCAGCTCATCAAGAAGAAGAAGGAGGAGCTGGAAGCCAAGCGGCTGCAGTGCCCCTTTGAGCAGGAGCTGCTGAGACGGCAGCAGAGGCTGAACCAGGTGGGTGATGGGCACCCAGCTAGCATCACGCATCCTCCAGGGCTGTCCTCCAGGGAGGAGCTCTGCTGTGGCCACAGCCAGTAAGAGGGAAGAGGATCAGCAGAGAGAGCACTGGACTAAGAGTCCACGCCTGGCCTGAGTCCTCCCTCTGCCATTCACTTTGCTAGGTCCTTAGGGTGAATGGCTTTCCGTCTCTGAACCTCAGCTTCCTCACCGGCCCAGTGTACTGCACGCTGGTTCTGATTTCATTCTCATAACTGTCTTGCATGCCAGGTGGCATTCCCGTTTTAGAGATGGGGAACCTGAGGCCCAGAGGGGGTGAGTGATTTGAACCAAGCTTCACAAAGAGAACTCAGTCTCATGCTCTGTGCCCCAGCTATCAGGCTAGTAGCAAAACTCATCCTCAGGTTGGTTCTGTTTCCCCACTGAGTGGGTCCAAACTCCGTAGGTTTTCAGAGTAGCAATCCCCCTAGCTTCACCCACTTCACCCCTCTGCTTCTCCCTCCTTCAGCTGGAAAAACCACCGGAGAAGGAAGAGGATCACGCCCCGGAGTTTATTAAAGTCAGGGAAAACCTACGGAGAATTGCCACACTGACCAGCGAAGAGAGAGCGCTGTAGGGCCAGCTGCCAGACTCAGGCCACCACCCACCCTGGCCTGGACACCCTCCTCCAGCCCTTCTGCACCTGGCAGCCCTGGGCCCCAGGCCTTGGGACGTCTGTGATGTTCCCACCTGCTTCTGTAGAAATGTGTCACCCCAAAGGGCCTGGCTCTCCCTGGGAGGCCGGGGCCCCTAAGCTCCTAGGCTTTTCCTTCCAAGCACCCAGACCTTCTGCTCCAAGAGGGAAAACTGGCACGCCTCCCTGCAGGGGGTTCGGAGCCCAGCACAGGGGGTTTCTCTGGCAGAATTGAGGAGGAAGAGGCGGCCCTCTGGCTTGACAAGCCTTCTGTTCTGCCCAGGCCTTCCCACCGGGAATCTCCAAGGCTCCCCAGGGCCCCGCTTCTCCGCGCACCCAGCTCCTAGGTCTCAGAGAACTCCCCCACCTGTGATTTTACCTGCAGCCAGCAGAGCTTAGCTTCAAGGACACCCACCTCCAAAGCACTGAGGGGAGGACGGGCAGGGCAGACCGCAGGCGGCCTTGTTGCTACCATCCTGACCAGGTGGGAGGACACTAACAAAGACAGCTGTTTAGGGTCTTCTCCCCTCACCCATGCTTTCATCATCCCCTCCGCACAGCGCCCACCGCCACCCCACCCCCGCCCCACCCCACCCCCGCCCCATCCAGGCCTTCTAACCACACCTAGCCAGGGCTGCCACATTCCTGCGCCCAGAAGTCTGCAGCAGTGCCTCACAGACTTGATTGTGCATACAAATCACTGGGGATCTTGTTAAATACAGCTTCTAACTCAGTAGATCTGGGGTGGGGGCTGAGATCCTGCATTTCTAACAAGCTCCCAGGTGAGGCGGAGGCTGCTGGTATGAGGACCATGCTGTGAGCAGCAGGGTGTGAGTGCCCAGGGCTGGTATGTATTAGAAATATCATGCCTGAAGCCATCGCTGGCCCCCACCTCCCGTGGACTGATGCCCCAGGGATTCCCACCCCTCCTCTGCAACCCCAGGTTTTCTTCATTATCCACCCCACCCCGGACTCCCACCCCCAGGAATTCTCCATGAAGACTTTGGCCTAGCAAATTGTGTTGGTTATGTGAGTGTTGTTTTAATCAGAGATGTATGTGATTGCCAATCTGCATTTCTCACCAGTGTGACCACACTGTTATGATGCAATTCTAGCCAAAAAAAAAAAAAAAGAATTTTTTTTTTTTACTTTTTCCTACAGTCTTATGGAAAGCAAATATACAATGATTTCCAATAGGCTTCTGGAATAGAAACAGTGGTTTGAAGACCCCACTGCCGCCTTTAGGGACTGGCCCCTTTGAGTCTGAATCCCCCGCCTCTGTCACCTGAGACCCAACCCCTAACTGGGCCAACTCCAATGAATTCACCCATTTTTCTTCTTCAGAAGGCGTTTCCTATGTGAGACCCACTTATTTTAACCTTTTGCTCCTATCTCATTTTTAAAGAATTAGAGAATAAACCAGGCCTGTTCTTTTCCCCTGAAATCCCTGCCTCTGGCTTCCTAAACCCATCATCTAAGGTGACAGAGCAGTGCTGGAATAGCATCTCCTTTCACTTCCCCCAAAACTGCCACAAAGAGCTGCCACTGGCATGCTCTCTGATTCCTGGAAGCAAACGTGGGACTGCCGGAGGAAAGGGATTGTCCTGGTCTTACTCATAACTGGGTGGTTTGAGGGTGACTGAAGTCGTGCTTTTCCTGTGTGTGCTCCCAGCACAGGGCTGTAAATGCAGATATTCCGCCTGTGTGCATATAAAGTCAAGCTCAAAGAGGCTCCTGGATGTGACTGGCGTGCTGAGAATGTGGTTATGTTGTTTAATGTATGTCAGGTGAGGGTTACACTGAAGATTCACAATCCCTAAAATAAAGATCACCACATTCCCAAAGAAGCAGCCCTCGGGTCCATGTGTTGTTCAGACATGTGAAGAGAAGCAAGACAGAGGGTCTCAGATAGATGAGGGGTCCCCAGGGGAATGCTTGGGGATTTACCCAGTGGTCCCTAGAGGTGCTCCATGGAGGCAACAAGTCTTTCCGTGAAGCCCCAGAAGTAGAAGGGACCTCAAGCGCCACGCCCTCCAGGGCAGCTGTGCAGAAGACCTTGGTTCACTCTTCAGGGGTCGTCCCAACTCCATATCTCCAGCCACTCCGACTGCGGAGGCTGTAAACCCAGACTCTCACTGTTCCAGTCTCCTTTGCAGCATAGGATGGCTATGTGATTCGGTGTGGCCAATGAAATTGAAGAGGAAGTCTACAGGGGCTTCTGGGAAAGCTTATGCTTTTCTGATAAAAGACACAGGCATGGCTAACATCTCCCTGGCTGCCTTCTTTCTGCTTTGATTGAGGGAGTGATGCCTGGAGCCACAGCAGCCACCTTGCTACCATGAGAAAAAGGCCAAGAGAATCAGAGTCATTAACCCTATCATTATTTCACCAAGCCAATGCCAGCCACCATCCTTCTCCATAATTCTTGTAAATAAAATAAATCCCTCTTTGTTTAAACCATTGTTCGTCAGTCTCTGTTACTTGCAACCAAAATCATCCCTAACTGACAGAGAAAGCCAGTCCCTGCCTGTCCAAAATTACCTGCAGGCTGTGCTAAAAATCCAGATTCAACTTTCCCATCAGAAACCTGTTGGATCAGGATCCCCAGCTGCAGTGCCTGGGATCTGTTTTTCTGTACCTTCCCCATATAGCCTACCTAGCATGAGTCTGAAAACTGGTACTTGGACATCACTAACGCACACATCATTCACCAAATATTTATTAAGTGCCTGCTCCGTGCCAGGAAGCATGCCATGGGCTGGGGCACAGTGGAGAACAAAGGCACAGTGCCTCCCCCTCATCTGATGACAGCAGTGGCCTCCTCCCAACTGGTCTCCCCTACTGGCCTTGTCTCTACACCCTGTTCTCAGCAGAGGAGCCAAAATGATCTTCTTCCAGTCTAAGGCAGAACTTGTGACTCTGCACAGAGCCCTCCCTGGGCTCCCAGTGGAGTCGCTCCTGCATTCCAGGTGGTCCTATAAGTCCAGCTCCCTCTTAGCCTCCGACCTCCTTCCTGCACTCTCCCACTCGCTCACATGGCCCCTCGAGCTGGCCTCCTACCCTCTCCAGGCATGCCCCATCTCCATGCCTTTCCACCTGCTCTTCCCCCAGCCAGGAGTATCCTTCTCTCCAAGACCCATGGCCCACTCCCTCACTTTCTTCAAGTCTTTCATCATGCTTCTTCCAAATGAGGTCCCCTTTAGCCATCCCATCTAAAATCTCAACTTCTACAGTCTTCCTCTGCCTGCCTTGCCTTCTTTATCCCCTTTACCATTTATCACCATTGAACATATTCTATATTTTACTGATTTGTCTCGTGTGTCCCTCCTAATGATAATGTCAGCTCCATGAGGGCAGAGATTCTTGTCTGTCTTGTTTACTCTGAATCCCTAGTGCACAGGGCCTAGAGAAGGGTGCTCAGGAAATGTTTGTTGAATGAATGAATGAGAAACCCCTTCTCCCTCTGCAATACCCCTAGCCTTCTCCCAGGTCCAGCCCATAGCAACCAGAGAAGGCGCCACCTGCCTCCTTCCTCCATGGTCTCCACCCTGACCCACAGATGTCCATTTGGCGGGAAGCCCTCATCTGCCCTCTTGGGCATTCATCGATACACCTGGGCCTCACTGGCATCATACCAGCAGGACCTGCATCAGAGCCGCGTGGCTCCTGCACACCACAGGAGTGTCTAGAGAGTCAGATCATCCCTGAAGGCTGATAATGAGGCTATCACCCAAGCCTGGAGACCATGGAGAAGCAAAAGGCTGCTGCAGCAGCTCTGACTTCAGACCTCTCCTTAAACAAGGAGCCAAGACAGCAACCCCTGTTCCTGTGGGGGCCACACTCTCTCACATGCACCAGACCACAGGTCCTGGTTTGGGTTTGCATAATGCAAACCTGTCAATGGCAAACCAGCACTAAACACAAAATCTGGGAGAGAGGGCTGACCTTAGGACGTGAAGGGACCCTCCATCCCTGGTCCTGCAGTGTGTGTGTCACTGGAGTCCTCAGACCGCAGGAGCTGTGGCAGGGCAGCCTCCCCACACTTGAGACTATACTGACTCCAAACCATGTGAGGGTAGGACCCTATCTGATTCTGCTCACCTTTATCCAGGGCCCTGAAAATAGTTAGGTGCCCCAGAAAGTTGGAGGGGTCCAAAATGGATGTCAGTAATGATCACTGCATTCATGGGGGCCAGCAATGTCAGCACCCTTGGCAATAAGGTGTCTTCCTCCCCACTCTGCAGATGAGGAGCCTGGACTCGAAGTAGTGAGGCCCTTGCCAGAAGACATAAGGCAACGCCCTGGGAGAGATGTGATTCTCACCCAGAAGGCCTGTCTACAGAGCCTGCTTCCTTTTTTTTTTTGAGGCAGAGTCTCGCTCTGTCGCCCAGGCTGGAGTGCAGTGGCGCGATCTCGGCTCCGCCTCTCGGTTCACGCCATTCTCCTGCCTCAGCCTCCCGAGTAGCTGGGACTACAGGCTCCGCCACACCATGCCCGCTAATTTTTGTGTTTAGTAGAGACGGGGTTTCACAGTGTTAGCCAGATGCCTGCCTCAGCCTCCAGAGTAGCTGGGACTACAGGCGCCCGCCACCATGCCCCGCTAATTTTTTGTGTTTTTAGTAGAGACGGGGTTTCACAGTGTTAGCCAGATGGTCTCAATCTCCTGACCTCGTGATCCGCCCGCCTCAGCCTCCCAAAGTGCTGGGATTACAGGCGTGAGCCACCGCACCAGGCCGAGACTGGGTCCTTTTTTTTTTTTTGGTAAGGTGGTGTCTTGCTCTGTCACCCAGGCTGGAGTGCAGTGGCGCGATCTCGGCTCACTGCAAGCTCCGCCTCCCCGGTTCACGCCATTTTCCTGCCTCAGCCTCCAGAGTAGCTGGGACTACAGGCGCCCGCCACCTCGCCCGGCTAATTTTTGTATTTTTAGTAGAGACAGGGTTTCACCGTGTTGGCCAGGATGGTCTCAATCTCCTGACCTCGTGATCCGCCCGCCTCGGCCTCCCAAAGTGCTGGGATTACAGGCGCGAGCCACCGCGCCTGGCCAGAGTCTGCATTCTTTCCATTACAGACAGGCCTTGTTCCTGGAAAGTGCTCACAGGAGGCCTGTACCAACCTGACCATGCCGCCATGGGATTCAGGGACCTACTTTATCTGCCATTTGTCTGTCACGAACTTGAAATATTTAACCTCCCGCGCTATAAAAACAGACTCGCCGAGGAGCACAGGTGTGGCTCACGCCTGTAATCCCCAGCACTGAGTAGGCTGGCCAGGACAGGCCTTGTTCCTGGAAAGTGCTCCTGGGAGGCCCCTGTACCAGCCTGACCATGCGCCATGGGATTCAGGGACCTACTTTATCTGCCATTTGTCTGTCTGAACTTGAAATATTTAACCTCCGCGCTATAAAAACAGACTCGGCCGAGCACAGTGGCTCACGCCTGTAATCCCAGCACTTTGGGAGGCTGGAGCAGGCGGATCACCTGAGATCAGGAGAGACCATCCTGGCCAACATGGTGAAACCCCGTCTCTACTAAAAATACAAAAATTAGCTGCGTATGGTGGCACACGCCTGTCGTCCCAGCTGCTTGGTGGCTGAGGCAGGGCAATCGCTTAAGCCCGGGAGGTGGAGGTTGCAGAGATCATGCCACTGCACTCCACACTGTGTGACAGAGACTCCTTCTGGGGAAAAAAAAAAAAAAAAAAGGTCAGGATCTACCATTGTGAAGGGATTCCTTGCATTCCTATCGCTGAGCAGTAACCTAAACAATTTGATTTTTCAGTGCCTCCAAAGACCCACTAAACCAACAACCACCTCACTCCTGCTAGTTTCTTGCCTTACAGTGCCCCCGCCTGCTGGACTTCAGAAGAACAGAACTAATTGCCTTAATCTCCTCCTGTCTGGATGTCCTAGTCAGCTCAGGCTGCCATAACGGAATCCCATAGAAGACTGGGTGGCTTAAACAACAGAAATCTATTTTCTTTTTTCCTTTTTTTTTTTTTTTTTTTGAGACTGTCTTGCTCTGTCGCCTAGGCTGGAGTACAGTGGCACAATCTTGGCTCACTGCAACCTCCACCTCCCAGGTTCAAGCAATTCTCCTGCCTCAGCCTCCCAAGTAGCTGGAATTACAGGTGCCTGCCACCATGCCCAGATAATTTTTGTATTTTTGGTAGAGACGGGGTTTCACCATGTTGCCCAGGCTGGTGTCCAACCTAAAATGCTCACCCCCCTGCAAAGCCAACCTCAGGCATGCCCCATAGAGGGAGAGAGCTGCAGGGGCACAGGCCCTCTGCTGGGGCACAGGCAGACTGGCATATCCAGGGATGCTGAAAGCACTCTCCCCAACACAAACACTGGCCAGCCCTCTGCCTCCGAGTCAGTCACTTGTGTTAGTCTTAATCATTAAACCCATTAAACCACAGCCTGCGGCAACTGTAAATTATGAGTGCTGGTTCAGGGTTCTTGATTTTTTTTTTTTTTTTTTTTTTAAGAAAAGTTCTCACTCTGCTGCCTAGGCTGGAGAGCAGTGGAATGATCATGGCTCACTGTAACCTCCAACTCCTAGGCTCAACCAATCCTCCTGCCTCAGCCTCCCAAGTAGCTGGAACTACAGGTGCACACCACCACACCCAGCTAATATTTTTTCTTTTTCCTTTTTTTTTTTTAGAGACAGGAGTCTCATGAAGTTGCCCAGGCTGGTCTCGAACTCCTGGGCTCAAACGATCCTCCCTCCTCAGCCTCCCAAAGTGCTGGGATTACAGGCGTGAGCTACCATGCCAGCCCAGTGTTCCTGATTAAAGGGTGGTCACAGAGTAAAAGAAGGGCTTTGTAATGGGGAGATGGGAAAGAGAAAATTATTCCAGAACTCCAATTTGTTTTGGTTTTTCTTTTGTTTTGTTTTGTTGCAACAGAGTCTCACTCTATTGCCCAGGCTGGAATGCAGCTGCAACCTCCACCTCCCAAGTTCGAGCGATTCTCGTGCCTCAGCCTGACGAGTAGCTGGGATTACGGGCATGTGCCACCATGCCCAGCTAATTTTTGTATTTTCAGTAGAGACAGGGTTTTGCCATGTTGGCCAGCTGGTCTCGAACTCCTGATCTTAAGTGATCCGCCCACCTGGGCCTCCCAAAGTGCTGGGATTACAGGCGCAAGCCACTGCTCCTCGTCCAGAACTCAGGTTTGAAGAGAATTAGCATGACTGAGTATAACAAAGAAGCCCTGAGCCTCCCAGAAGGCAAGGCAGGAAAGGAAATCCAATCTTTGTCTATAAACATGGAGTCATAGAAAGCAGAATAATTCAGTGATTTTCAAATTTTGCTTCATGGGGGACGTGGGGGGTGACACCAAGCCATTTATAATCTCCTTGCCCTCATCACCACTTTTCTCAACTTTAATTAGAGCAGCTCAACGTTTGTTTCCACGTATTTCCGTTTAAACACAGATCCCATGGCCAAAAAAAGACAAA